AAGACCCTCAGTGAGACAATTTTGTTACAGCTCCTGCTTTTCGACCTTTAGGGTGTTATTCCAAAACTAATCCGTGTTTGGCTTTCTGAAAATAACATGGAGGGCATAATGGAGATGAATACTCAATCAAAAATCTTAAATTGCTGTCTTTAAGGGTTGATCTTTAAATATAATCTGCCTGCAAGTAGATTACACTTATGGTCATTTGGGTACAAATGCACTTTTATAAGAGAATAATTCACTCAGGAAAGCGAGCAGAGGGAATTTAGAGAAGATGTACAAAAATAACTAGGAAGCTCAAGGAATCAATTTATGTTCAAGCATTAAAGTAATGACAATAAAGCTTTACTAGCAGAGGCTACAGACACTCCAGTGGCTTGCAGTAAAGCATGATTATTTATAAAAAAAGGAGAGAAAATCTTGAAGAATATTTTATTTCAGTGTTAGGTCAAATAATTGATGGTGATTTCCAGCTGGCAAAAGGGTAGCAGCAAAGACATTTAAAAGTGGCAAGTTTAGGCATCATGAAGGACTGTTCTGCCACTGTCTGAGTCTGCCAGGCTCAGGATTAATAAATACAAGATAAAAATTCCAAGATGGGCTTCAAAACCAGTAGGGTGGGGGTATTTTGTTGGTTTAGGGTCTGGGTTGCTTGTTTGGTTGTTGTTTTGTTTGGGTTTTTTTCTTGTTTTCAAATTAACTCAAGATGAGCCAGTTTAAACATAACATTTCTTCCAGAGTGGTGAGAATTTGAGTACAGATATTTTTTTTTTTCTTTCTGCATGTATTTTTGGTTTGCCTGGTCTTTTTTACAGTAAATGCATTTTCCTGTAAAGACTGCAGCACATGGGTTCCCAGGGAATAGTTCAGTTGTGTTTTGACTTTTTAGACATTTTATACTTTCTTTTCCTCTTAACTTGAGGCATTTAGAATGCATTAGGGTCACCGGTTCTAGTGGGAATGCTGATGTTAAGGTTAGTTCAAGGGTAATTTAATGTATTTAGGTATTGAAATTCTGTAAAAGCAAAGATGCTTTATTTTGGGTGTAGGTCTAGATAATAGATATCTCGTATTGAATTCAGGTTTGGATGGAGAAAAGGTAATATGCAGTTAGAAAAGTATGTCAAGTGACACTGGAGCATACAGAGGAATAATGAAAATAGAAAATTAAGCTCTGAACTATCAAAACATATATATGTATGTGTGTGTATATATATGCATGTATACATTGTATTATGATTAGGCAAAGAGGAAAGAAGGGGAACATAATCTTTTAGTATTGGAGAAGGTTTTTCTTCTGTGATGCTTCCTATGTTACTATCACAAGGAATTGTTGATCCAAAAGTCCATGTGAGCAGCTGTAGAGTAGAAAAATCATGGAACTAACTTGTTCCACTCTAATAATAAATAAATGATGTCAGAGTGCTCATTATTTTAATTAAATTAATGTGAAGTCATTAATAATTATGATACTTTTTTGCCCCCATCATGTAGACAAGGGGGATTGTTAATTCAGGGCTCAGCAATACAAGAGCATCACAGCTCCAAGGCACCCCAAAAATTGGATGAATAAACAACTGTTCAAGTTTTTGTTTGGACACAGATTTGTAGCTTTCCTATGGCAGTTGTCTTGCTATGGTTTAGTTAATAGTATTTTCCCTTGTCTTGTGATCACACAGGTCTTACAGATACTCAAGAAAATGTGCATTTGGTAAAACTTGGCATGATTTATATAGCTTGGAGCAATGAGTAAGTTCTTACTTAATTAAATGAATTATGTAGACATTTTTTAATTGTCCAAATGCCAAACCAGATACACTGGGCTTTGCAACGCCTCCCTATTTTTAGAGCAATACTGACTTTGTTTCTTACCACATTTTTTTTTTCAGGCTAGTAATCTATAATGTACTTGAGCTATTTTGATATGGTTATCTTTAATTAAGCACATAACTTATTAATATTTTGCGAGTTGGATTAAATTCTTTTGATAGCGTTTTAACATGCCGATTTGTAATTATATTATTTCACTACAGCAGACAGATTGGTAAGTCATAAGTTATTAGGGAAAGGAAATTGTTCTAATGAATAAACAGGGCCTTGCAGACAGTAAGCTGATAGTGTCAAGCATCACTCAGGAGGGCCAAAATAAGGACTTGAAGGCCTTTTATTACTGGACTCCAGGTATCTACCAGTATTTAAATCATAATTCATAGAACTGTGTGGTTTTAAAGGTATGGCAATGCATCATATGATGTAATATTGGGAATACCCTTCCCCAGCACATGCTTGATATTGTACTGTTTTGGTTTTGTTACACCTAGTGCCCTGTGGAAGTGAACCAGTTAATGCCTGGTGTGATTTATGGTGCTTTAAGCTGGGAGGTCGTAACCATAAATATTGCAAAGGGCTTTGATTTCCAGATTATGCCAAACATTCCCACTTTGAAAAATGGATCTCGCTGAAATGTGCAACGTTGGGAAAGTAAACACAACATTTTAAATCTAATTTCCATTCTCTTCTGTGACAATTACAGATCACACGAAGAAGGAAGCCATCATAGCATGTCACATATTGAACTCGATGAAATGTATTACAATTTGAATCTCTGGAGTGTTTTTTTCCTCCTGTGGGGCTCCAATTTATACCTGCTCATTCAGGAATAAACAGTGCTATTTTCTGACTTGTCATCTCTCTCACCTCACCTCTCTTCAGCTTTTACACTGAGAAAATGATGTCGTTGAACTGAATGCTAAAACAGCAAACTGTGTTAAGATTAATTTCACAGTACAGCCCTGAAAATTTTTAGCACGATTCTATTCATCCTTCCATTGCTGTGACAGTAGATTTCCAGTGTGGCACACGTACACAAAGGGCAGGTACGTGTGCACAGGGGGAGAGACACAATGACTGAATGGGTGAATACAGAAATGAGGGAATACTGGTGGTGCTCCGAGTTCTCCTGAACTTCCTGATCTCATTACCACCACCCAGTGGAAAAGTCGGGAGCTAATGCCAATTCCTGGTGTGAACTTGAGGACTTCTACCCACGGAAATAGCTCCTGCTTCAGCAAATGAGCCCAAGCTCATAGATGTAAAGTTTCTAATTGACTGTGGAATACTTTTGATCAAATTTTCAGACTCCAGATTTTTCAAGTCTGGAAAAAAAATTGTGTGGCTGTTGGCAGGGAAAATAGTCTGTGTTTGTAATAAATGGTCACAAATCATCTGCTACCTAGATCCCATAATTTAAAATTTTCCTATTTATTTGTGGATTTCCTTTTATCAGGTTTTCCCTTAGTGCTTCATTTATTTTCGTTAAAAGCTTTTCGTTTCTTAAGTACCTTGAAAATATTTTTTTTAACGAAGCAAGTTTTAACTGGGTAAAATTAATTTTAAAAAATTTAATTGGTAAAAATGAAAATTTGGTGCTCATTATGTAGTCAACTTCATCTCCAGAAAAGTACCAGATGCAGAACGGCTGCTTGAAATCTCTTTGGATATTGTTTATGGTGTTCACATGTTGGTTGCTTTAATGTAATGCTAGCTGTGTACCTTGCCTGCTGGATTTTATTGAGCTTTGGGTGGTGGCTTGGTGGGATCACACCCATTCTGTGGTCTTTTGGCTTCTGCTTTTTGATTTATGAGACGGTATATATTTTTTTAGTGAGTTTTTTTTTTGTGTTGTCACTGAATGATTGTTCCTTGCACTGTTGTGCTAGATTGTTGGAGAAGGGAAAGTGAAGAAGATTTTATGTAGTAGTCAGCTGGGAACAGTCATGGGATGGTTTGGATTGAGACCATTTAAAAAAGATCACCTGAAAAACAAAAGCACCTGAAGGTTCCCCTGCCACATGAAGGTACACCTTCCACTAGAGATGGAAGCGTTGCCTCTGAGATAAAATCCAATATTTTTGTTATGATTTTTGAAAATTTCATTTCATTTATTCTGCTAGGGTTTGACTTGGATGTTTGGTTTGAATGGATATTGGGAAACCATAATTCCATGATGGACTGTTTCAGGGATTCATTTTCCAGTTGCTGGCTCCATTTGCTTTTCACATAGAGACACTCTGTTTGACAGAGGATTTGCTTCCAAGGCAATGTTTCACATAGCACAGTGAATTGCATTTTCAGTGTTTGAAACGCTCAGGAGTGGCTTGTGCAGCCATCAGGTGTTTTGGCTTGGGCCATCAGGTGTTTTCTGGCCTTTGTAAAAATATCCTGCTGTTTAATACTATTATAGTACATCAGTTCCTTGTTGGTGTCACCTCATGTTCAGCGTCCCATTTGCAATTTTATTTTAAATTTTCATTTGACTGCTTTGCTTTATTTGTTAGGAATGGATTAGGGGAGAAAACAAAAAGATGCAGTGTGCATGTGCTGTTAGGGAAATTGTGCAGCATAAACATTAAGAAGGGAGCACAGAGAATGCTGTTATTATATCCAGTAACAGCACAGGTTTTCCCAGCAGTATCCTAAAGCAGACAGTGGTAATATTGGTGATGGGGAAGAGCAGGGGCAGAGAAGTGCTTGCATTTCTGAACACAGGCATGTGGTGCTGGATACAGATGTGGATATGTGGAAAGAGGGAGGGGATAATGCTTGCTGGACAAGCCTTTTCCCTGAGCTGTTCTGCATAAGCAGGGGTATGAAACTGTGCGCTTGGTAGGGCTGAAGGAGCTAAGAAATGCAAGCAGAGCATGTTTTAATGAATCTTTGCTGCTACTTTTGGGATTGAAATGCTAGTTCAAGCCTTCCCAGTGCTCTCCCTGTGACACAACCCTGGGGGCTGCAGGGCTTCAAGGCCCTGCTGCCTTTCCTTATCTTTGTGATAGCAGAGCTGCACTCAGCTCCAGTGCTGGAGCAGGGAGCCCACTCTGCTGCTCCTCACACAGCATGAGGGATGTGCTGGGAACTAGGCTACCAGAGCATCCCAGTTTCCTCTTTTCCCTGCTGCACCACCCCCACAGCTGATGAATGAATGCAGTTGTAATACAGTGTTTAATGCACATTACCCTTTAATGGCTTTTCAAAGTACTCAGGATAGTCCCAGCTTTCCTTCTGCTTCATGCAAGGATGATGGGCCCCTGAAAAAAGGAAACCTATACAAGGCTCAGTAAAAAAGGAAAAAAGGACCAGTAAAAGGAGACTGAAAGTCCAGGAGATGGTAAAAGGGTGTGTCTCAGGCAGCAGATTACTTACAGGGAGGTGTTCTTAGGATAAAGTGAATTTTGTTGAATTCGGTAAGAATTGCCATGGGAATTTAATTGAGTTTCTTGTGACTTGAGCACAGATATTCCTTTCTATCCTTGATGGGTTTGTTTCAAGAGAGAATTTGCTTCAATCATTTGATTTTTCAGGATATGTTGGTAACACATATGCTGTGCCATGCTTTAAAAACTGCTAACCAAAAGAGTTTATACTCTTGAATATTTTTTCTGGGTTATGCCAGGATTATTTATTAAATAATGAATATTATTAAATATTAGAATGCAGAATATTGAGTATTCTCACAGGCAGAAAAACAGCAGAATGCACAAGAATTAGTTTCATTTGTTCGCTGGCTTCTCCTTCACAAGTTTTCCAGAAAGTCTCTCAAATCCATAGCCTGCTTCTTGAGTTGGTATTTGCTGTTTTATACAGGAATAATTCCTTGGAGATTTTTACCAAATAGAAAAATAAAACAGTGTGTAAATAAGCAGCACTGGTTATTATTACACGGCAGAGATTTGTATAAATAGCAATATAAACAGCTGAAACCCCAGATACATACCCAGGAGAACAAGACACAGATGGAAATAGGGAAGACTGGTGGTAGGTAGGAGCCATAGGGTTAGGGATTGATGTGAAATAAGCAATTTATAAAAAATAAAAGATTTGGGATGGAAGAAGCATCTTGAGCTGTGTGATCATAATAAGCAGAATGAGGCATGAAAACTTAGGTGAAGGGTTGAGATAGATCAGAGATCATCTAAAAAAAAAAAAAAAATAAAAAGACAACCAGAATAAGCAGGACTAGAAATGACGTATTTTGCTTGTCAGGTGTTATTTGTTGTCCTTTGTTTATTCAGTGCTTTGGAGGAATCAGGTGGTTTTTAATTGTTTGTTGTTTCAATTGTTTGTTTTTCCCTCCCTTAATAGAGGAGGACAGTGAATTTCATGAGCAGAAGCTATAGCAGCTTTCAGTGCTGTTGCTCACTTCTGTTTGGTACAGAGCAGGGGGAACATTTGAAACCTGAGCTGTGGGAGTAGATTATTTCTCTGTTGCTGCAAGAAGATGTTCCCAAGTCCTTGGACTCTTAACAAGAGCGTGCAAGCAGTGCCTGCATGTCTCTGAAAGGCCAGAGAGCAGCTGTACAGCCCTGAAACTTTTCAAAAACCCTGGGAGGGCCCAGGTATGGCTGTAGCAGCTGTGAGTAAATGTGTCAGCAACGTGTTTGTGCAAGGATTTCAGAGAAAAAGGTTCCAGTTCTTTGAGAAGGTGGATGTGTGGACTTTCATTCCCAGGCAGAAGGGTCCTCACACATCAGTAACGTTCTGTTTAGAAGGTGGGAAAAAATTGTTCTAGTCCAATCTGGAATATATTTATTCCCAGGAAAGAGTTGCCTGATTTTATTTCTTGCATGATTTTTGTCTTCTGACATTTTTGAGAGGGAACTGCACCCATGATTCTGTCTTGAAGGGGAACCAGGCCTTCAGTGTGCTGTGTTTTTAAATTTATCAGGTATTTATAATATTGACTTGATTTTCACATGGCAACGAACTTGCTGGTTATTTCTAGATGTACACGTACATCCTGATAACCAAAAAAATCTGGTTTACATTATCACACTCTTTTTTTGGCTGTAACAAGAAGCAGCAAATTCTGATCTCTCACCTGTGGCTCAGCTGTCAAAACTTTCCACTTTTGCCATTTCCGTAATTTCTTCCCAAGTACTGGAAATGCTAAAGAATGAGTGACAGCTGTCAAAATTTACTATTCACTGTGTATGATCCAAAGCAATGATAGAAGATGTTTATCAGAAGGGGGCACATCTCAAAAAAAAATGGGGCTTCCTTCATGAAGGATGCAAACACCTGAGGCAATAATTTCTGCCAGGCAAGTGTTTGTGTGTGTCCCCGTCCTCAATCTTCTGGCAGCAGCTCATCTCTTTTGGAGGACAAGATGATAGGACACTGCTGTTATGTTGCCAGCAGTAAATGCTGACTAAGGGACGTGTTCAGATGTTGCATCATGCTTCTGGGCTTCTTTTCTAAGGTGCTCCTTCTTTTGGCACTGGAAATTCATCCCATCAATCTTGATTTTTACAAAGCAGAATAAAGGTCAAGCAGGTTGGACGATGAGCCAGCTAAGAGTGTTTCCCACCTCACATGAGAAAAGCTGCAAATCACAGATACCTTATGGGGGAGAAAATCCCCAACAAAACAACAAACCACATTTCAAGCATCTTTCTCGTGCACATCTTAGACTGTGACAAATTCTGGTCCTGGAATCCAGCTCTGGTTTGTGTGCTGCAAAAAGAAAGGAACACTTACGCTGGTGAAGGAGCAGGGGCATGCCACAGCTGCCTCGTGCTGATGTACCTAATGGTTTTTAGCCCACTTTGCTGGGGGCTTTGTAGAACCGAGCCGAGTACATCACACGGGCGTTGAGGCTGAGGATCGCAGAGTCTGCGCCAGAGCCTGCAAGAAACCATGGTCGGTGCCCCTTTCCTTGCAGACGCCCAAGCCCTGCGAGGCCGGGTGGGCAGAGCCGCCTCCGCCGGCGGCCCCGGGCCGGGAGAACCGTGAGTGACCGCGGGGGAGCGGCGGGGGAGCCCCGGGAAATGGGGGATGCAGGCGCCCCGGGAACGGGGGATGCGGCCCCCAAGGAGAAGGGATGCAGGCACCCCGGGAAGGGGGGGATGCAGCTCCCAAGGAGGAGGAGGGATGCAGGCACCCCGGGAAGGGGGGATGCGGGCCCCCCAGGATGAGGGATGCAGGCGCCCCGGGAAGGGGGGATGCGGCCCCAAGCGCTTCCCGTGACCCAGAAGTTTTGCCAGCCCGCTCCCGATCCTGCGGGATGCGGCGGGGATGGGCTGCGGCGGCCGCAGCCCGGCGAAGGGCGGGATGGAGCTTACCCCTGGCGAGGGTGAGGAATGACCGCTTTCCCCCAGTTACGTTGTCACGGGCCAGAGGAGCCGAGAGCGGCGGCCGATGGAGCGGGGGGGCTGCTCCGGCCCGGGCAGGTGGTGGAGGTGCCTGTGAGTGGGGTGTTAGAGAAATATGTAACAAAAAAAGGAAAGGGCGCGGTGGAGGGCGCGGAGGCTGCTCGGAAGAGGGGGGAGGGCGGGAGCGTTGGGCTGGGGGCGTCGCACCCCGGGCATCTCTCCATGCCCACCCCCCAAACCCCGGAGGAATCACACTGCTCGTCGTCCCCACCCCCGGAAAAAGGAGGGCACAGCCCACCTGCGGGGCTGGCTGCGCTCGGGGTGCCGGCTCTGCCCTCTCCCCCCGCCCGTCCCCCTTTACCTGCCGGCGGCCCGTCCGCGGCGGGGGCAGCGGGGCGTGGGGCGGTGGGTGGCGGTGGAGGCGGCGTGTGACAGATGTCCTCCTCTGACAGCGCTCGGTACCAGCCCAGTGGCTCCCTGCCATTGGCTCAGTGCAGCCGACCGGCAAGGCTGCTCGCTATAATAGCACTATGCCTGCCAGCGGCGGCGGCAGCTCGCTCGGCTCCGCCGCGGCCGCCGCGCCGCGCATCCTCCTCACCCTCCTCACCCTCCTCACCCTCCTCCCGCGGCCGCGCCGCGCCTGAGGGGCCGCAGCCCCGGCCCCCGCCGGCCCCGGCCCCGGCCCTCCCCGCCCAGCCCCGCCGAGCCCGGCCCGAGGAGGCGGCCCCGGCCCCATGGAGTGCTACTACATTGTCATCAGCTCCGCGCACCTCAGCAACGGGCACTTTCGCAACATCAAGGGAGTTTTCCGCGGCCCCCTCAGCAAGAACGGCAACAAAACTCTGGTAATGGCTTCTTCCCTTGCCTTCCCCCTTCCTCCTCCGGCTCGCCCCTCCTTGGCCGCCGCGGGGACGCGGTGCCCTCGGGGCAGGCGCTGCCGTGTCCCCGCAGAGCTGCGGGCGGCCCGGGGACCCTCCTGGGCGGGGAGCCGCAGGGCCGGGGCTCCGCAGCCCGGGGAGCCCGGGGAGCGGCGGTGCCGCGGGGCTGAGCGCGGCTCCCGGCGCGGGGGCTCCCCGGTGGCCGCCGGTGCTGTCCCCCCGTGCGGGCACAGCCGCGGGTCCCAGCCGGGGAAGGGCGGGGAGGGAGCCGAAACTTGCCTGCTGGCTTGTCCGAGCCCTTTGGGTAGAGAGGCGCGGTTGAGCAGAGCCTGAGAAACGATCCGCGTTTTGGTTTGTTGGCTGCCAAGTTCTCTTTGAGAGCTGAACTCGGGGTTTGGCAGGACTCGGTGGGTTTTAGGCAATTTGGTGTAGTAGATGCTCCGGAATGCCTGCACAGGCTATTCGGGCTGTTTGTGAATTGATCCTCCATACTCGGGTATCTTTGCATCTGTTGGGTTTCCTGTGGTTTTGCTGACTTGCTCGAACTCGCCTCGTGCTGATCCTGAACTTTAATGGAAGAGTGACGGTGCAGTAGCCTTGGCAATGCATTTGCTCTCCTGCCTGCTCAGATAAAAGGGATGTGGGATAACGGCAGGCTGGGTGAGCTGCATGGCAGAACATCTCAATCACGGCACAACACGGTGTGGACAGATGTCTGGAGAGGAGGATGGAGCTGAACGAGGGGCTTAGCCACGTTGTTTATCTCTCTCTCCCATCACTGCCTCATCCTGAAATCCTCTTTGGAGGAGATGGAGCAGAACTTACTCACCACATTCTTGTTCCCTCGAATGCACGACCTATATTGATGGGGAATTTACTGAAGTACTTAACATTTGCTAGAGTTGGCAAGCTTGCAATTTCTTCCTAAATAAAGAGATTAAAGCAAGTCTGAGCCAAGTCATAAAAATAGTAACTACTACGAGAGAATCTGAGGCAGATTTTTGGACTGTTTCAAATGTGAAGTTCCTGCTTTCACGTTGTAAATCTTTACAATTTTATTTGCTGTGGATTCTGCATATTTTTCTGTCAGGGGTTGCGTTCTTGGAATTTTAAACAAGTATTTGTAGTATCCATGAGATGGCAATATGTGTGTAATATTTCACTGTTACAGTTTCAAACCCAAGACCTACTGCAGAAATATTTGGTACATTTCAAATAATGGCATGATACATCACCTTCTTCCTACTAAACAATTTCAGTAAAGATGCATTTGGCAGGACTGGGAACACTCTGATGTAACTTTTGGACTGTGTATTATCTTGCAGTTCATAATGGATTCTGCTTCAACAGCATTTTTTAAAAAAATATTTTTATTCCCTTGGCAAAAAAAAAAAAAAACACCAAAAAAATGGCAGCTCTGTATTCTCAATATTCCTGATTAATTTATTTACTGATAAAATTATTTGTGACCAAAATATTTTGGGAAAGACTGGTGCTAACTTCAAAGTCAAATAAAAAAAAATAATTATGTGGGCTTTGAAGGGCTCATACTCTGGAAAAAAAAATGTACTCTGGGAAGAAATTTTAACTCAGGCCTGCTCTTCATGGAGACAGATGTGAGGGGAGACAAGGCAGTGTTGGCTGTGGGACTGCCATGAGAACCCTTAGGGTGTGCACTGAGCACTGGCAAAGTTTTTGCTGGGTTGGAAAGGAAGAGTTCTTGATGTTGGCTCTGTGGACAGCAAAATGAAATCCTTCTGTATGAAATAAATGGTACAGATGCAGGCATGAAGGCTTGTGTTTCTGTTTGGGCTATTTTTTAATTTATAGTAGGTCAAGATACCATGAAGTTGTGGTACTAGCTCAGAATGGACAGTTCTATGGTGCTGAAGTACCTTTACACCCATTTCAATGGGAAAATCAGATGTTTCAGTGTTTCAGAGGGTTTTTTAGTCACTTTCACTGTAAACAAGCTTTTCAGACTTGGAAGGATGAAAATATTTGTTAGTGTAAACTAGAATAAGTCTTTAGAAATTCCAGTAAGAAGACATCCTTTTAGTATGGTCTTGCTGTCTTCCACCATAGAATAAGGCTAGGAAAAACAGCAATCTGTGAAGCTAAAATCAGAAATTTTGAAGCTGCTCTGACTCAGACATATCTTTCTATTTGTTCTAAAGCATTCATTGTCTTGTCATCTGAGCTCCAAGCTTTCCAAAATCACTGCTTCCTCATGAACCAAGGAGAAGCTGAAAACAGCCTCCCTTTGTACAGCGTAGGATTGCTTCTGTGCAAAACTTACCTTTGCTAAGTTTTGGTTCTCCTTCAGAGTTCTGCCACCACACTCTGTCTAGAAATAAAGGTGAGTGTATGTTTCAGTGGAATTTCACATCAAGAGGTAAAGTGCTGGGTCTAGTCAGATGATGATGTGGTTTTGAGATGGTTTTTTGTGGTGTATCTTCAAACCTGAGCTGCTCAGGTTTCAGAGAAGAAAGCTCCTTGGGTCTTTTCATTACTGTCCCATTCTGGAGTGACCTGATATTGCCCTAAAACTCATTTTTTCTTTTTATTTTTGGCCCTGCTCTCCAGGAGAGGTCACTGAGAGATTTTTTTTTCCCTTGATTGTTTGTCTCTGTGGGTGAACCTTACGTGTTTGTCCTCTTCCTGCGTCCTGTCTCACACAGAATTAGTAGTTTAAAACTCTGTGAACATTTGGTTCAAAACTCCCAGAATACAGCAGGAAGAAAGAGCTGGTAGGGAACATGAAGCACAAAGCTTTGGCCTTCTCTAAAGGCTGCTCAGTGGAGAGCATCAGAGAGTTACTTTCTGGTAGAAAAGATGGAGTGACAGTGTTTCTACTGCTTTGGTCTTTCTCTATCTGTCTTTAATGCCTAGTGAGATGGGCTTTGAGATGGGGTTATTTGGGAGGGAGAGACAAGTACATGAGGGGTAAAGATACAAAGTAGGAGGAGGAGGATGGGGCAAGCCACACTTGTATTCCTCAAGAGAAGATATTGGGAAAACCTGAGCTCAGAAAGTGGTGAAAGGCACAAAAAGGAGCAAAGCAAAGGGTGGATTTAGGTAACTGAGAAAATAAAATAAGAAAAAGTTTCTTGTGAATGAACCCATAGTCAGGTGAGGGTGGGAAGTGAAGGAATGTGTGTCTACATGCAGCTTGGGTATCTGAGAGCTTTGCCCAGTGCGTGTGGTCCCCCTGGCCCACTGGGGTATGGATCCCTTACCCCATTGTAATCTACTATTTCTTGTCAGGAAAATAAATCTGAACAAGGAATTGATGGGAAATGGGCCCCTGTGGAGGAATAGCCTCCAAACTCCTATTATAAAGTAACTTCAGAAAATGGAGTACGGTTAAAATGAATTGGTGGTGTTTGTGCTGTCGAATAAGCCTTTATCCTCTCCCTGTGCAGTTTATATTGCCTGAAATATCCTTGAAACATGCACAGTCTCCTAACAATAGC